TCATACAGTTAACCTGGGAGGGCTGACTACCCTGAGCCTCTTCATACACTCAGAGAGGTTAAGGCAGTAGCCAAGGTCACCCAGCCAGTAAAAGACTAAACTGGGACTGGAGCCCAGTTGTGAGATGGCAAGCCTCACAGTGACACTGCAGCAGCTGCTGAAACTGGGGCTTGGTGATGGCTGAGGCCCAAGGACATTGCTGGGGGAGAGGGTGGCCTGGGCTTTGGAAGGGGGGTGGGGTGGGAATGGGGTGTTGGAGAACAGCTATGGAGAGACTTTGAGCGGGGCCTGGAGGTGTCTCCAGAAAGACCCAGAGTCTTTCTGAGTTAGCTGTCTCAACAGGGTTGCAAAAGATGGAAGTGTATCTCCCCAGTCAGGTCTCTGTCAGACAAGGGAGGAAGGGACTTAATGCTCCTATTTCATAGGGGAGAGACACCGCGGCAAGGAGACGTGGCTACCTGGACCCATAGAGTTCCAGGGCCCTGTTGGAAGCAGCCAGGTAGACAAGTTTCCCTGGGCTTTCCCACTCTGCATTCAAAAATGGAGTGGCACCGAGGCAGAGGCGAGCCTGCAGCCTGTCTGTAGCCGAGATGGTGGCCAGATGAGGCCCTGACACCCAGCTCTGGTTACCGGTGGGGCGGTGGCAGCCTCAGCATCAGCTGGTCGGGTGTCACAGCATCCCCCTGCCTCTGCCCTCCCCCGCGGACCCATCCACCTGAGCTGCTCCGTAGCACCCTGCTGCCCCCTCCCTGGGGAGGGGTGAATGTACCCGGGACTGGAGCAGATGATGCAATGGCGCTTCTTTCCTGGGCTTGGAACCTGCAGCCTTCGCTGCGCCTGTCTCCTCCACTTCCCCAGCCCGCGCCCCCTCCTCCCTGCGCGCGGATGGTATGCTCCGGTCTGCCCGCCCCGGCTGCAGTGGATGTTGCTAGAGCCCACGCGGAGGAAAGAAGAGACGCAGGCAGGCTGCGGTGACCAGGCGGCCGCCCCTGCCACAGGGACCCTTTCTCCGAGAGACCGGCATCATGACCCAAGGAAAGGTACCAGCATCTCCCCCGCCTGCATCATCCTGCATCCTCTGGGCTCCCCTCTCTGGACTGCTCTGAGCATCCCCCCCAGCTCTAGTGTGAAGGTCCTCTGTGGTCTTTGCTGAAGTCACAGGATCAGGACCTCCCCCAGCCCCAGGTTCTCCTCCCACCCTGTCTCCCTTCCACCTGTGCTTTGGCATCACGAGACTCTTCCCAGGTTCTCAGACCCTGAAAAGGACCCAGTCTGGGTGTGCAGTGTGATGTACGTATGTGTGTTATGTGTGCGCCAGTGCAAGTCTCGACACCTAGGGCCTCCTGCCAGTGCCAGACCCAACCGCTTTATGGCGTTCTTCACACCCTCCACAGAGTACCACCCCATCCCAGCTCCCTGTCTTTATTCCACATCTGGATATCTGAATACGTCCCCTATGGTTATGGGTTACCATGACAACTGTGCTTCAAGAGGCTAAGATTTTTTGGTTTTGTTTTTGACTAGGCATAGAACAGGATGAAAACATATATATATATATATATATATATATATATATATATATATATATATATATAAATGTTTTCCAGTTTTAGGCCTAAATTGAAAGGGGGGATGGGCAGAGACTTGGCTGGCTCAGCAGGGTTATGTAACATCAACAGCCTGTGGAATTATACAACCACTTAGGGCCTGGGGCAAAGAAGGAGGGTCTTCTGGCCCTCTTCCGAGGGTTAAGGATTGGGCAGAGAAACAGGAGAAGGCCCTCCCACACACATACCCTTCCCCCTAAGTCAGGTTTCAGAGCCAACAACATCCCTGCCCAGTTCTCAGACCCTCCTTTCCCTTTTTTAAATCACTTTAGGCTTCAAAATGATGTCCTTGGTTGATGTCACTTCCTGCCATTGGCCAAAAGTCACTTGAAAATTTCAGATGTGTCTGGGGGCCAGGTAGCTCCCAGAAGGCTCTGGAGGGCTGTATGGAAGGGTTGGGGCTGAGGTGAGCGTTCCTTTGGTCTGTGTTGAAGAAGGGGGTCTGGGAATGGAAGGGACCCATTCCCACCCGGCCAGGCTTCCTGTCCCTTCCCTGAGAAGGCCTAGGTGTGCCTCTTGAAGAGCAGATGAAGAGCTACCACCACGCTGCCATACCAGGAGCCCCCTTTCCTCACCTTACCCACACCCCTCCAAGAGGTATGCAGGCCCCTGCTGCTGTCCTGGGTGAAGGTGCTCCTCTGCCTCGTTGGCCCTCTTCCCCAGCTCACCCACAGGCTCTCTGGGGATGGACAAGGCTCTGGTCCACTGGTCCGTGGGCCTGGTGGGAACCTAAAATCTTCCAGGGTTCACCCTCTCTTGGAGAGCGCTGCAGTCTCCCTCAGCAGCAGCTCAGGCAGGAGCATTTTGGAGCCAGACTTAAGTGCCACTTTCTGTGTCCTGTCCTTTTGTTGCTCTCTGTTTTCACAACCCACTTCATGCCATTCTCTCCTTCTGTGGCTTCATTAGACCTACAGCTCACACATCCTCCTGCCAAAGGTATATGTGTGCATGGCAGGGTAGGGCATCTCTGAGTATAACCAGACCTCTCAACCTACTTTGCCATCTGGATGCAGTGCTCTAGTCTGTAAAACAGAAAGGGACCAAACTGGATGCCTTCCAAGGGCCTTTCCCACAGTGACATGTTGTGATGCTGTCTCAGTTTAGGGGACAGGCTGAAGTTTCTTCAGGACCAGGCCAGAATGGAGTCTCAGAGGGGGTCCTCCTGCCTGCCCTCCACCCTGTAGTACCTTTCCTCTCTTCCCTTTTGTCCTCCCCTCCTCTCTTTCTGTTACAAATCTCTCCCCATCCTCGTCCTTGAAGCCCCAGTAGGACCCGTATATGGCCTTGTGACTTCGGATGAGTCATTACTTCTCTTTGATGTTCAAGTCCCTCATTTATATATTCATTATTTTTTATTTATTGAGTCAGGGTTTCACTGTGTAGTTCAGGCTGATCTTGAACTCATGATGATCCCCTGCCTCAGCCTCCCGAGTGCTGGGATTACAGGTGTGCACCCCCATGCCTGTCAATTCCCTCATTTTAAAATAGGGATCACAAGCCCTACTTAGCCAGGCCCTTCTTTGGACTCCAGTGAGATAAAGGGACCATTGTGACCCTCACCCTGCCTTGAGGTCAGAGGTTGCCAACAGAGGGCTCTGCTAAGAATCATCTCCTTCCTCAGTTCTCATCCTCCACTGTGTGGCCTTTGCTAGCCTGACCCTCTTGGAGCTCAGTCCTGGTTTCAATAAAATAGGGAGTTTTTGTTTGTTTTGTCTTTTGTTTTGCATCCTGGAGATTGAACTCAGGGCTTTTGCCCAGAGCTATATCTCAGACTTTTTTTTTTTTTTTTACTTTGAAACAGGGTCTGAATGACTCACTGATTCCCCAGGTTGGGCTCAAACTTCCAGTCCTCCTGCCTCATCCTCCCATGAGTGCAGGGACTACAAAGTGCCTTAAAATGCCCAGCCTTTGTTCTGTTTTTTTGAGACAGTTGTCATTTTGTAGCCCAGGCTGGCCTAAACTTGCAATCCTCCTGCCTCAGCCTCCTGAGTGTTTGGCTTTTAAACATCCACAATCATGTCCAACTTGATTGTGGGACATTCTTGCACACACTCCTGCTTTTCCAGGAAGATTCTAGGAATTGAGGGGCTATTCAGGAGGGGTTGGAAGGTTCTCTTTCCCTGGTGACCATTTCTCTCTCTCTCTCTCTCTCTCTCTCTCTCTCTCTGTCTCTGCCTCTATCCCACAGCTCTCCGTGGCTAACAAGGCCCCAGGGACTGAGGGGCAGCAGCAGGCAAATGCTGAGAAGAAGGAGACTTCAGCAGTGCCCTCAGCCCCACCCTCTTATGAGGAAGCCACCTCTGGAGAGGGGTTAAAGGCAGGAGCCTTCCCCCCAGTCCCCACAGCTGTGCCTCTCCACCCCAGCTGGGCCTATGTGGACCCTAGTAAGTCTCTCAGCTGCTGGGGGCTGGGGCCTCAGGGAAAACAGGGGTTCAGATAAAAAACCTCAGTAGGAGGTAGCTGCCCAGTCCAAGGGCTGGGTCCTATGTGGTTGCTGTGTGAAGCTGTGTGGCTAGAAGCTTGGGATGTGGAGGTTGGTTCTGAGTTGAAATCAAAGATGGCCCCATATGAGGTATCTGTAGTCAAGGTACTTTCAGACAGGGAAGAGAGAATTGTTTTTCAAGTCAGTGGGGTTGGATAACCAGAGACTACAGCTGGGGGATGAAAACCAAGGTCCAGTCTAGAAAGGTCCTCCTGGAAGTGAGATGCAGAGGTTTGGGGAGAGAGCAGAGTGGTCAGAAAGCCTCAGGGTAAAGTGGCAGCTGGCTCTAACCTTGGCTGGCCTTGGGCCCTGTGAGTGGGGATGCAGCCTTCATGCACTGCATATGGTACTATTCTGAAGCCAAAGCACAGACAGGTCCCCATGGAGGGCCCAGGACTGTTAGGGGCTAGGGATCTAGGATCCACCTTACTACTCATTCTCCTTGTCCCCTGCCCTTTCCCCACCTTTGTTGTGGGGAGGAGGCCATGAAGTGGGAGAGGTGTGTGGAGACCACCCTCAGCATCTGTTGCTGGTAGCCAGGCAGAGCTCACAGGCAGGGAGTTCACAAGTAGTTGCCAGCTGCCACCATGAAGGAACCAGCCAGTGAGAGATCCACTCCTGGGCTGACCAGCCTGTGGGAGCTTTAAGACCGGCCCTTCTTAGCTAGGTATGGTGTGCATGACTATAATCCCAGCACTCAGGAGTGCAAGGCCAACCTAAACTGCGGAAGAGACCTTGTCTCAAAAAACAAAACAAAAATAGAAGGTCTCCTTTAAATTCTGCTCAGCCCCTTTTTGTGTCACTCAGTAGTCCCTCCCCTCCCCCGTTTTGCCCCGTGGCAGAATTCTAGAAAGGATTCCAGGGACAATGGCACAGACATAACCAGAAAATGTTCGTGTTTGAAAGGAGTGGTCAGGATGGTCCACACTTCCCGCCACAAACTCTCTAGGCCTCAGCCTAAAGCCTGGAACATGAAACCTGGTGCAACCTACTGGAAAGTTCCTGCAGGTCTGGTGTTTATGGAAGACTTTCTTCCTCACTGTTGTGTGGACAGTGGAGTTGGTGGAGAAGTAGGCAGAGGTTAAGAAGTAAAGGATAGAGGACAAGCATCTCCAGGTCCCAAGACCCCTTTAGCCCCTTCTCATTTTCCACCCATCCACTGCTAGAATGGGCTACTTCAAGAAATGTTTTCTAAGGAATTCTTGGGGCAGAAAGACTACTCCTTTTAGTCAGCATGTGACAGACATTTATAAATGCATGCCAGGAAGTGACAGGCGTCAGGCCGACACTTCAGGGGCTTCAGAGACCTGCCCGGATCTCTGCCCTCACAGGGCTGGCTATGGACAGTGAGTGAGCTTCTGCCACACAAGGGATACACCTGCTGTGTCAGAGGCCTGGGCAGCTCACCTAATAACAGCCAGGCAGGAGGGCTTCCTGGAGGGAGGGATGCCCACACTGAGTCCTGAAGGACATCATGAGTTAGCCTGGTGAAGAGCCAGAAAAATGAGTGTTCAAGGCTAAAAGAATAGGATGTTGAGGGATCGTGAGACAAGAGAGCACGCGGCTGGAAAAAATGCACACAGGCCAAGAACAGTGGGAGGGAGGAATGTGCAGGATGCTTGGAGGATTCCACTCACAGAGGCTGTGGAAGCTTTCAAGAGCTTGATCTTGGTAGACAGGGAGTAGAGCGCCATAGAAGAGCTCAAAGCATGGGAGGGTGGTCAGCTCTGATGACCCAAACAGAGCCTATTGATGGAGGGTGGTGGGGATTATGGAGGCCTGGTGAGGAGAGTGGAGTGGAGCAGAGTAGACACATTTGAAGACTTGGGAATGGCCCTGATAAAGCGCACAAGAGATGTAGCTCCTTAGTTACTTTTTTCTCATTGCTGGGACAACATATCTGACACTCAAAGTTAAGGAAGGAAAGGCTTATTCAGCCCACGGGTTGTTTGGTTTTCAGTTCATAATCAGATGGTTCCAAGCAGGAACATGGCGCTGGGGCAACAGCTCGAGGTGGCAACAGTTCAGCAAAAGAGACAAGAGACAAAGGAGGGAGTAAGCCTCTTTTCCTTCTTTGTATGCAAGCTATCTGTCCTCTGGTGGGTGCAGCACTCCCACAATCTCCTGCCCTCCTCTTGCAGAGGTGCAGGATGTTTGCAGTGAGGACCCTGGCCCCCTGCTGAGTCACTTAGCAAAACTTCTCAAAATTGGTCCTAGAGCAGTCAGGGCATGTGTTGTACACCCCGGGACATAGTACTGCTGAGTACTTAGTTAGGTTTCTAGATTTCTCGAGTTGACATGTATTAACAATTATAGTAGTGTAGTCCCCACTAGGAACAGAGCACATAGGCTTTCATTTATGTCTAATTTGGAACCCGTAAAATGGGGATCCAAGGCTCATGTCAAAAGGGGCTCAGAGAACCTTGTTGTCTTGCTCATGGTCACTCTTTAGACCTGTAGGATGGGTCCCCCTGTTTGTAAGATCTATTTGTCCATGGTCTTCCAAAGGTGTGAGTTCTGGAATCTTCATCCCAACTCCTAGTTCTTGCTCTTGTCCTGGCTTTATTTCCCCTTCTGGCCCTGCCTGGCCCTGGTTTCTAGCTCTAGAGGTATAGTCTGGCACATGCACCCCATCTCTAGCTCGCACCCCACAGGCCTCTGAGCAAGCCAGGGTCAGGATGTTTGACCTGGAGTGTACTAAGTGGCCTAGAAAATGGCTGTCCTTTCCTGATCATCAGCTGAGAGGGAGCCAGAGTGTTTTGGGAGGGTTAGGGGACAGAAGATGGAAGGCCACATTTGATCCCCAGAGCTCCAACCAGGGTAGAGGGAAATAGAAAGAAAATGACATCTCATTCCCAGAACCCTGAGCAGGAAAAACAAGAAGTGATCAGGAAGAGAGGAGAGACCTGGGGTAGTCTAAGGTACTTTACAAAGGGGCCAGAAAGAAAGATATCAGTGCATCAAAGAGCCAGCGTGGCCAAAAGGCAACTCTAAGCAGGTGGCTTTGAGGCACTTTTCTTGGCATCAGGAGCCCTCACGCACCCCCTTGCCCACCAGGCAGCAGTTCCAACTATGACAACGGTTTCCCCACTGGACACCATGAGTTGTTCACCACCTACAGTTGGGATGACCAGCAAGTTCGGCGGGTTTTCATCAGAAAGGTAATTGCCTCATCTTGACTCCCCAGCAGTGGAAGCCCAGTGGACGAGCTCTTCAAAAAGCCCTGGGTCCTGCTGCGGCTGAAGCCATTGTCCCCTCTCTAGTGATCCTCGCTGATGCATCCTACAGGGAAGTGTTTCCTAGGTTTCGCTGGGGCACCAGGGCACTCTCCTCTGGGAACCATGTGGCTGTTCCTCTCATGGCCCCGTGCTTTCCTTCCCACTTGTCCTGGGCTAGATCCGGTGCCCCCTAAGGAGGGTGGAGCCCCCAAGAAGCAGGTGTGGAGATCTGAGTGAGTTCCAGGGAGCTAGGGGCTCACTATGTCTACCTGGCCTGTCTTACCAGGTCTACACCATCCTGCTCATCCAGCTGCTGGTGACCTTGGGTGTTGTGGCTCTCTTTACCTTCTGGTGAGTAGGTCATATAGATTGTCACCTTCCCAGGGTACCCTTCTCAGACAGGTGGGGGAGCACTTCTCTTTGCACTGGGGAAGAATCTTAAGAATGCATAATGTAGCCCAGGAATGATGTTTGTCACAGTGGTGCCCACCTGTAACCCTAGCATGCTGGAAAGCTGAGCGTCTGAGCCCCCTCCAGGGTGGGGTGGACCTGGTGCCCTCTGGGCCTGCCAGTATGTCTCAGACAGTCCTTGCTTTCCAGGCTACCAGCCATACCCCCCCCCCCCCCCAGGCAATCCCAGGTCTTAGCCTAGAACTGGAGCCAGGCCTCCCAGAACCTCCAGGAGCTGCAACTCTCCTCCCTCAAAAGTCCAGTGAAACGTGCTGGGCAGGTACAGGTGTTGCACCAGAAATAGACACAGAGTAAAATCTGACTCTATCCCTCCCTTCTCTGCAGTGACCCCATGAAGGACTACGTCCAGGCCAACCCAGGCTGGTACTGGGCATCCTAGTGAGTATACCCCAGCCTTACAGCCTTCCCAGAGGGAGGTTGGTGGCAGGCAGAGGAAATCTCTGTTCCCCTGGCAGAACCAAGCCCAGAGCTTCTGCAAACCCCGTAGGACTGACCTGACAGACCCCCAGCCCTGCCCTGTTCAGCTGGCCTCAAGAGCAAGAGCCTTTCTGACCTGTTGGGGTCTGATGGGACAGATGGGAGATGGGGGAGGTCCTTGCTCCTATACGAACTGGGAGGGGTGGGGCTGAGCCCACGGCTTCAGAGACCCCGTGCCTTAGCCCTAAGGGAGAGGGGGCTGGACCACTTCATCCCACACTAATGATAATGTTGCTGCTCTTATTAGCACCACTGTTATTAATGCTTATGAAATTATTAATCATAATACTCACCACGTAAAGAGTGCCTAATAAGGGCTGGGCATTATTCTTTGTTCTTGATGTACAGCATTGCACTGGATCCCCAAATCTGCTGGAATGATTACTTCACAAAACTGAGGCTCTGCGAGCTCGAGTAATTTGCCCAAGATCACACAACTAGTCAGTGGAGCAATAGGATTCAAATCCAGGGTTCAGGTTCCAGCTTGTGCTCCTAATCCCTCTCCTTGGCAGTCTCCCCTCAGCCTCAAGCCACTTGGCTCTTGCTGGTCCTATACACTTTAAGGACTAAGGCAGACAACTTGGGAGAAGAGGTTTGAAGGTAGGTAGGCGATTCTGATCCTCCTGTCTGCGGCACTAAGGAGTGACTCAGGAGAATCCCAGGCCAAAACACCCTGGGGCTCAGAGATGAACTGCTGTCCCCAAAGGCTCCCTCAGCACCCACTGCTGGCCCAGCACGACACTGGTCATCCTCTGCAGGGTGAGGGTTTGGCAGTAAGCAAAGACTCAGCACTCAAGAGAGGGGAAGGTGTGCACTTAGGCGCAGGGTGTGCTCCACCTACAGGATGCACCTCAGAGGATGGGCTGAGAGGACTGGGACATCTTTGCCAGCAGAGAAATGGCTTTGAGCAAAAGTGTAGGAGTGAGAAGACATCTGATGAACTAGGGAAGGGACTGGAAGAGGGCTGGAAGGACATCTCAGAACACAGATGGTGGAGACTCTGACCACCAGCTGAGGAGCTTGCACTCTGCAGCTGTTCTGCGAGGCTCCTGGCAGAGACCTGGTGGGGAGGTGGACTCAGCCCAAAACCTCTGTTGATTTCCCTGAGCCAGGAGCACTGAGGGTTGGGCACAGAGGTAGCACAAGCCAGCCAAAGGCTGACAGTCAGGAGACTCATCCTGGCCTCTGGGGCTTGTTGAAGGAGCAGAGCTGCCTCTTCAAGCTGGGGTTCAGGGAAAGAGATGTGCACACCCAGGGCCTCTCCTCTGGCACAGGACAGAGGCCGTCTGCAGACCTGGCAGAGAGCATGTGTCTTGGGGATCTAGGTGGCATTGTATTGTAAAGCTAATGAGACCCCAGGGACTGCCACCCTGGCCAGGCACTTGGTGGGTTGGCATGGCTCCCATCACGTCACCACTGCCTGGCAGCCTCAAGCCCCCTGAGACCCAGGGATGGAGTCAGTGGGCCCCTGTCCGGGCCTTCTGCACAAGGGTCTACTGGATTCCATGCCCTCAGCAGACAGTTGCAGGGGACAGCCCAGGAGCAGGGCTGGAAAAAAAAAAAAAGAATGTTCCTCCTTAACAAACTGCTCTTTGGGCCAGGGAGATGCTCAGTGGAATAAGTACTTCCCTGGCAAGTACAAGGGCCTGAGTTCAATCCCCGGTTCCACCAAAAAAACCCCCAAAAAACAGGAGCAGGGCTGGGTACAAGCAGTCATGTGCGTGCTGTGGGAGGCAGGGAGGCTGGGAGAACTGGAGCTCTGAATGGGGAGCTCTGGTGCCTGCCTCCTCATTTGCTCCAGCTGAAATCTGAGCAGGGGCTGTGCCATGTGGCTTCCGTGCTTTAGGATGCTGGCCTTTTCCTGCCCTGTAGCCTCTTTGCTCCCCAGGTCTCCCCCACCTACCTGAGTCTGCTTTCCTCTGGGTCTGAGTGGGTCCCACTGCCTTCCTCCCAACACCAAACTTTCCCAGAGGGCTTCTACCTCTCTTTCTTTTGGAACAGTAATAACAACAATGAGAATGAAACTGCTTTTTTTCTGTGCTTTGGATACTGTGCTAGGTGCTTTACTTACATTTTTCACTGACCCTCACAGCAACCCTGCCAAATAGGTACTATTATTATCCCCATTTTACAGATGAGGAAATTGAGGCCGAGAAGTTATTGTTTCCTAAGTGGCACAGCCAAAATATAACCCAGGTCGTTTTGATGACCAAAGCCCTGTGCTTTGCTGCCCATGTGTGTCACTTGGGTCCCAAGCAGGACAATTTGGGGAAGGGCATTGGGTTTGGTCACCGGCCTTCGCCTGAGCCTTACTCCCCGCCCTGGTGCTCTGAACAGATCATCCTAGACCAATCGCTCCCCAACCACCTCTCATTCTATTTCCCTATGATGCCAGCCTCCCTGCCTTCGGTTCCAGCTTCCTCAAGTCCCAGTTGGCTTCCTAGCTCCCTCCCAGGGTTGTCGCCTTATTGTCTGATTGTTCCCACTGAGCCTTGGTGTCTGCAGCACAGCTGCAGTGTGTGTGTGTGTGTGTAGAAAGGGGAGATGAGCTGGGAGGTGGGTTGTCCATCAGCGAGCTTCTAATTACGGTAATAGCAGCTCCTGCGGGAGAGGAGCCTGAGCCCCACACCAAACCCAGCCCATAGTAACTGAGTACCTCACCTACATTCTCTCATCTGGCTTCAAGCAGCCCATTGGGTTGGTACCGGGATTCCTGTTTTACAAAGGAGGGAACTGAGACTTAGCTATTAAGTAACTCATGCAAAATTACAGTGGTAGTGACAGGCCTAGGACGTGAGTGCCAGAAGGTACAACACAGCCAGGGAGATAGCTCAGTGGTATGAGTGCCTGCCAGACAAGCGCAAGGTCCTGAGTTCAATCACCAGTACCACCCAAAAAACCAAAACACAAAAAGACTTACACAAAAACTGCACTTCAGTCCCCAGGGTCCAGGGTCAGTGTCCCTGTGACTTCCTTCTGATGCCTTGTCTTGAGAAGCTAGGGACCAGAGAGAAAATGAGGTAGGGCCCCTGCCCTCAGGAAGCTTCTGGTCTGCAGGGTGACAGGACCCATACCACGTAGACACACAGACAGGGCACCATTATTGTCATTATTGTTCAGGTGACTGGCCAGTGACTCAAGTAAGGCCAAAAGAGCAGAGGCTGAAATGTTTCGCAAGTGAGGCAAGACGGTCTGAATGCTCAGTAGTGCTGGCTCCTGGCCCCAGCTGTCAGCAGCACATCCAATAGCTCCATATTATTGAGAACCACTGAAGAAATGGAAAGGGAACCAGGTGTGGTGAGCACACCTATAATCCCAGCATTTAGGAGGCTGAGAGAGGAGGATCCCCATGAGTTCAAGACCAGCCTCAACTGCATATCGAGACCTAGTAAAATAAAACAAAACAAAAACAAGGAATTGGGAAGGGTTAACATACGGGGTCCTAGTCACCAAACCGCATGGGCTTATATCAACTCTTGCATTGTTTAGGGTTTTGTTTGTTTGTTTGCTTCATTTTTTGTTTTTTTCCTTTTCATTTCACCAAATAATATGAAAAGAGCACCTACTAGGTACCAGGCATCAGGCTGTGTGATGGGAATACAAAAGGAATAAGCTATAGGCCAACCCCTCATCCAGGTGGTACCTCCAGTTAGGCAAACTGGCCCACGGGGTAGGAATGCAGGCTTGAGTGAGGTTTACCCAGGGTGCCATGAGGAAGTCATCTGGAAGAGGGAGCCCCAGATGTCCTTGTCAGTTGGCTGTCCAGCAGGAGCAGAGTGTGAGAAGCAGGTTGGGAGGGTGCAGAGAGGAGTGTGATGGGAAGGGCAGGGGGAGGGCGAAGTATGGGGTGACCAGGCTGGCATTGCCAGGTCTTTGGGAACTTTAGACAGGAGAGCCCCATGGTTGGACATGGCTATAGTTTAGGAGGTGGAAGGCAAGGTTTGGGGTAGGAGGACCAAAGGGACTCCCGCCTCCACCGAGCCAGAGAGAAGAGAGGTGACCAGACTTCCAAGGGTGATGGTAGAAATGGAAGGGAGAGTGCAGCTTTGAGAGCTGCCTGGGTAGGAGGATCAACAGATCCAGGTGATTAATGGGGCGTGATGGGGAGGAAGTCAGTGATGCTGCCGAGCCTCCCTGAGGCTGGCTGGCTGGGTACATGGTGGCCTCTGCAGCCAGGGAAGCAGGAAGGGAGCGGAAAGGATGGGGAGCTCAGCTCCACCCTGTTGAGTATGATGTGTTTCTGAAGAGCCACATCTGCCCAGTAGGCAGCTGGATGTTTCAGTCTGGGGTTGAGAAGGAAACCATAGATACGAAGCATGGGTGTGAGGCCTGTGGGTAAATGAGCACACCCAGGGGAGTGTGAAGGGACCAGGCATGGTCAGAGACTTGCTGGTGCAGACAGGAGGCATGCCCAGGGAAGAAGGAGGGATGCAAAAGTATGTCTTTGTGGAACCCAGAAACAAACAGGAGTGATCAGATGTTGAGAAGCGAGCGTCATCTGGACCCAATGAGGTCACTGTGGTGTGGCAGAGCCGGCTGTCATTAGGTGGGGCTGAGGCAGGCTTCCAGGGTTGGGAAGATGGAGAAAACAGCACCCTGGATGGATGGAGTTCTCAAAGCTTGGTTTCAAGGGCAGAGAGAGCGGCCATAGCTAGAAAAGATGTTGGATGAAGATGGGGAACAGCTGAGGAGATGGCTTTGGGAGGAGTGAGGCCAATGGGAAGGGGAGAGGGAGACTGAGGGCCTGAGACCAGAGCCCAGGCTGGGGGAGTGGCCTGGGTGGGGAGGAGAGAAGGGGAGTCCATAGCATTCTGTGAGATTTTTAGGTGGCAGGTAGGGAGCCAAGGAAGCCCCATCTTATTGCCTCAGATCTTTCTGGGATGCATCAGGCAGGTTGTGCTGCAGAATGAGGCCTGGGGGAGGAGGAGGAAGTTTGGAATCACTTGGTGGGGGGCCTAGGAGGATGGGGGAAGAGGGGAGGAAAGGGTGCAGTGCTGCGATGAGGGCCCCCTGGACTTTGAAACCCCTGCCCAGTGGAGGCACTGCCCCCATCACTGCATCCTCGGGTCCTTGGCCCTCCTCTCCTACCGCCTCTGCCTCTTCTGGTCACCAGAAAATGCTCAGGGCTCAAGCACAGTCTCAGGATTGCCCCAAGATCCATGCTGCCTCCCAGTGAATGAGCATAGCTACCAGAAACTTAGCCACAGGTGTCGCTTCCTGCTTGCGTAGGATGCCACGAACCTTGCTGTCCTGAGCTGAGCTTACATCCTTGGGACAGACGGGCAGTAACTAAGGAGATCATTCCAGGCAGTGATGGGGCTGACAGGCAGTATGGGTTGGTGGCTGCAGGTAAGCTCCCTAGAGCCAGAATGCCTGTGTTCTCATGCTGTTTCTACAGCATGGACAAACAGAAAGGTGATGAGCACACGGCATGACATTGTGCCTCAGCAGAAAAGTGAAGAGCACACTTCCTGAAGAAGATGTGAGGATTACATTAGTTAGGGCTTGTGACCCATGTTTAGAAGGCGGCAAAGCATATAACATAGAAAATACTGTGGATGAGCCTTTTCACTACTTCAGTAATGACAGGGAGGACATTCAGGTGGGCTGCTCAGGAGCAGCTGCCCCAAGGCACCCAAGACTCAGCAGTACGAGAAGCACTAATACTTGACCGCCCCCCTTCTTCTCTTTTGGAATTGATCTACAACCCTGGCCCTGGCCCTTGCCAGGTTCTAGGATGACCATGGCCTTCTCCCTGCCACCCACCCTTGATGGTACCTGTGGGCAGTGGTGGCAGAGCACGGCAAGAGCAGGACACTGGCTGGGGGCCTCAGGAGAGCTTTGCTGACTCACACACTCACCTGTCTCTCACAGTGCTGTGTTCTTCGCCACCTACCTGACCCTGGCTTGCTGTTCTGGACCCAGGTATGATTAACAGCTGGAGGAGTATAAGCAGGATCTTAAAGTCCTGGTTCAGCCCTGCCTGCTTCCCGTAGGCTCTGCACCCATGAGAGGCATCCATCCCTCTGTCAAACAGGCCTGTCCCCCATGTACACCTTGGTAGCGGAGGGCAGACAGACAGATGGGGCACGTGGGGGTTGGCTGAAGGCACAGGCTTCTGGGAGTGTGGAATGCGGTGCAGATGGCCCTTCCTGCAGCGACGACTCCACTCAGAACCCCTTGGCTTTCCTTACAGGAGACACTTCCCCTGGAACCTGATCCTGCTGACCATCTTTGTACGTGACTGAGGGAGCTGGGGACAGATGCTGAGCGGGGCTGGAGGGAGGATGGAAGCAGGGGAGTCTGAATTAGGAACAGCCACTGTGAGCTCATGGGGAACTGTGGTGTTTTTCACCCTCTCCCTTCATCAGGACACTTCACTTTCCAAACAGGCTGAGCTGCCTCTCTCTGCCCCCACTGCCTGTTTGCTGCGCTTTTGTTTTGAGGAGGCCCATCCAGGGCATCCCAGAGTTACAGATAATGAAGGGGAGTGGGTCTCTGCTGGTGGTGGGGATGGGGATGGGGATGGGGAGAATGGGACCGCCTAAGAGAGAAAGAGACAGCTATCCCCAGAACCTGCACACTGGCCTGGGAGACACTGCTCCGCCAGAAACCTGCGCAGCAGTGAAGCAGCTTCAGCGTACGAGGGCATGTGACTCCCAAATCTAAGTTTTAGAGCATCCCCTTACTCTGCCTTTCTTTTCAGACCCTGTCCATGGCCTACCTCACTGGGATGTTGTCCAGGTAAAGGGAACAGGTGCACGGGGACAAGGGCTCTGTACCCAGGGACCAGCCGTACTCTCAGGGGAGCTGCCCCTAAACCCTGTGCTTCCTGGAAGACTTTGGATGAGAGAGGCAGCTTAGGCAGCAGGTCACTTGGCCTAGAACCCTCTTCTGGGGTGCTCACCTAGCTGGTGGCTCCAGGACCTGCCGGGTTGGAAGCAGGGTGACTCTTCTCCAGCTGTAGCTTAAAAGGCCTCAGACTTAAGCCACCTGTAAGCCACCTCCAGGTTCCAGCACACATCTTCCCCCCTTTTCCCACTTATTCAGGACCCTTCTAACTATTAGTGAGTCTCAGTATGCCTAGGAGATGAAGGACAAGGCCCAGGGGAAAGACCGGAACCAAGAGAGGGCAGGTCCTGAGTAAGGAGACAGCGTCAGGACCAGAGGTCACCAGGTCAGGGCCTGACAGAAGAGCTGGCCGGAGAGAGGGCTGGGGAGAAAAGGGCCCGCGAGAGCTGACCCTGCCCCTCTGTCCTCAGTTACTACAACACCACATCTGTGCTGCTGTGCCTGGGTATCACGGCCCTCGTCTGCCTCTCAGTCACAGTCTTCAGCTTCCAGACCAAGGTCAGCTGTGAGGCTCTGAGGCGTGTGGGCCGGGGAAGGCATGCAGGGTAGGGCTCCAAGCCAGGAGGGAAAGGGGCGAGTTGGATCTGGGGGACACCTGGGAGGTTGGGAGGGAAATGCTGAGCTCTGGGGTGAGTGCCCTGCCTGGGGGCTCCATGCAGCCAGGGACCAGTGCTGATGCCCCTCTCCCCTCGCAGTTTGACTTCACTTCCTGCCAGGGTGTGATCTTCGTTCTGCTCATGACCCTCTTCTTCAGCGGACTCATCCTGGCTATCCTCCTACCCTTCCAATATGTGAGTCTCCACCTGCAGGGTCTTGGGGGGCAGGGAGACCCCTGTGGGGTGTTGTTCCCTCCTGTACCTCCAGGGCAGGCCTAGGGCCAAAGCCCCACAGCCTGCCATCCTGTCTAGCCCCTCGTGGCCCCTGCCCTAGGCATGTTGGCAGGCCTATAAGCAAGCAAACAAGGAGGCTTTTCTTGGCAGGTCTGGGCACCTGCCCATCTCCTTGAGCTGCATCCGGCTTCACCTTTCCCATCCTCCCGTGTAGGGTGGAGGGGAGGCTGAGGGGAGGGTGCGGAGCAGCCTGTGCCTGCCTGGGACTATAAGGAAGGGTCTCCTGGGCTCCTGGGGGGATCAGCCTAGTCCAAAGAGGAAGAATGCAGCTGAGGCAGTAGGGCCAGAGCAGACTCTCACCCCATAGAGCATGTCCCAGCTGCAGCTCTACTCTCAGCAGTTCCAGGGTCCTCAGCCTGGGCTGGAGCATATCACCTGGAACTGGGCAGGTGCTCGGGCCACTACACTTGTGAGGGAGGATGGGGCATCCCAGGAGGGCCTTGAGGTTTAATCCTGGGTACCCTAGCCACCTTTGGCACCCATCCCCCCATCACGCCTTTTCTGCCTGGGCTGGGACATAGTCCCCACTCCCCTCACCCACTTCTATCCTGCCCAGCCCCAGCCTCAGGACATTTGGCTTCCAGTCCAGAACACTAAGACTGGATCTGGCATTTCCTTGCCTTTTCCCAGGATCCTGTTGACGAAGGGAGGGACCGGAGCTGGCCCAGGCCCTCTGTGTGTCTACAATGGGGAGGGGGATAACAGGAAGGGGCCCCAAAACTTCAAAGAAGGCTTTATTGACCCAGGTTCCAGGACTCTTCTAAGTTCGTTGGGAAGGCCCCAGTGAGGCAGAGTTAGCAGGGCACCCCCTGTGCACAGGCTCCCAAAGGTAGCTGGGTGTTCCCGTAGTCTGGGGAGCAGGGGACAAAAGTACACTGTCCTAGCCTTGGCAGACTAGCCCATACACACTTGGCAGTGGGGCATGGTGGCACAAGCCTGTAATCCCAGCATTTGGGAGGTTAAGGTAGGATTACTATGAGTTCCACGCCAGCCTGGGCTACAGAGCAAGACCCTGTCTCAAAGAGACACCTGGCAGACCCCCTGAGGCACCTCTTACACATACATATCCTGAGTTCAAGTCTTGGCCCTTATCATTAAGTCCCTTGTCCCCAGTGTAGAACCTGGGAAGAAGACAGGCTAGGAGGCAAGAACAGCCTTGAGCTAAACTCAGGTTGGGAGGATGTCAGGGCCACAGTGGGGTGACTCAACCTCACTCAGCCTGAGCCTGGGGCTGTGACTTGCAGGTCAGTTGGGAGCTCCATGCCTGTCACTCTGGGATTACCCTCTGGGCCCTCACCACCCCCAACATGAGCACCAGAGAATCAAGTACTCCTCTAGGCCCTAGAGCTTCTTAGGGAGCCCTGGGGAGGACACCCCGCATCCTCCATTTTCTGAGCTGAACCTCCTCCTGGTGCCTCTGCTCACTACTCTCTGACCATAAACACATTGTTTCTCTGCCTGGCAGGTACCCTGGCTCCACGCAGTCTACGCCGTGCTTGGAGCGGGTGTGTTTACCTTGGTGAGTTTGGGTCGGCTCCCTGAGGGCCACCTTCTCAGCTTTGAGATCCTCTTCCCAGATCCCTCCACCATTCCTGTCTTCCTCCTCCTCTTCTCCAAAACCTTTCCAAGTGCCTGTGGGCATTCAGGGAATTCTGTTTGGTTTCAAAAACAGAACAGCTGACCCAAGCAGGGGCACAGAAAAGTGGTCCCAGCAGGATGGAACTATAGAAACAGACAGAGCTGGAGAAGGTCCACACTGCGGGTGGGTGTGGGGCCGTGGGAGTGTCCTGCCGTGGGAACCAAGTTAGTATTGTTCTCCTAGAGCATTCTGGGAAGGCTTCCTAGTGCTCGGGAGATTGCCAGACCCCTGCAAGAGAGAGGCATTGTGTGAATGAGCTTGATTTTTGCTGTTCTCCCCAAATTGAGTGTTGTTGATGATGAAGATGGTTATGCCAATGATTTCAGCTAATGCTTATGGAGCACTTACTTCCTCCCAGTGAGCACTCCATGTGCGCTTCATCCTTACCATATGTTTCTAAGATAGGCTCTGCTATCACTTGGAGATGAGGATAGCCTGAAGCTCATAGGTGGGAAGGACATGTCTAAAGTCATACAGCACCCTAGAAAGTTTAAAGGACAAACTGAGACTCCTGGTGGTCCAGCTCCAGGGTCCCACTCAGTCCAGGCAGAGGGAGCTTAGAAGCAGATGCCCAGGAGACAGAATTGACCAGGGATAGGTGTCAGCCAGAGCAGCCTAACTCTGCTCAGGTGGGCTCTAGACACAATGAGCGTGCCCCAGGATCCAGCCAGGTAGGCAAGGTGGCACTGCGATCGTCATGGGGAGGCATCCAAAGTAAACAGCCACTGCTGGTGAAGGCGGCAAACACTCTCCCTTACTAATTCCAGAGCAGTTAAGTGATGGTCCAAAGCCTCCTGGCTAGATGATGACAAGTCTACTAAGTGTGGGCTTGGTCCAGACTAAGGTGCTGGTCTACTTGGGACAGTCTTGGTTGTGGCACTGAACATCCCACTTCTTGATGAACCCTAATATCTCAAGCAAACCAGGATGGTTGGTCACCCTAAGAGATTCACTTTTGAGCTCTGGGCCAGTGCTCTTACCTCCAGGCCATCTCTCTCTCTCTCTCTCTCTCTCTCTCTCGCTCACTCTCTCTTTTCCGGGAATTGAACTCAGGACCTTGTGCTTGCCAGGCAGGTGCTGTGCCGCTGAGTTACATTCCCAGCCAGTCCATCAATTTTAAATAAAAATGTATTTGAAAAGGATCGGGTGGGAAATGGGGCTGCAAGAAAGAAGAGTAGGGCAGTAGTGAGGACAGCTAAGCCTGGGTAGCAGCATCTGGAGACCTCAGAAGGCAGCCTTGCCGGGAGTATGGTGCGCGCCTGTAGTCCCAGCACTTGGAGCCGGAGGCAGGAGGATTGCCATGGGTTCAGGACCAGCCTAGGCTACATAGTGAATTCAAGGCCAGCCTGAATTACACAGCTAGTGGGACTCTGTCTTTTAACAACAGGGTAGCATTTGCCAAGGCCAGGCCGGATGGGAGGTCAGGCCAGGGCTGGTGGGAGTGGTGGAGTAGGAGGTGGGAAAGCATCCATAGAAGGGTGAGGTATAGACATTGCTTCACATGGATCAAGTCACACACAAGTGTGGGAGGTTGTACATACGAGGAAGGCTGTGTGAAGAGTAAGCCCTTAAATCTGTTTAATAATCCCTAGTGTTGTTAGATTAATAAAAATAATCCCAGCCGCCTGTTCTACCCAATGCATTCTGCAAAACACTTTCACGTCTATGGTATTCCCTCATTGGATCTCATCTCCACTGCAGTCGGGTGAAAGAGGCAGCACTGAATTGCTTTCCTCCTCAGAAGCCCTGAGTGTTAAGGAGCTGGCATGGAATCTCACAGCGGGTAAGGGGCAGACCTAGCAGGTCAAGAACCAGGTGTCCTATGCCCAGCCTGGTGCCGTCTTCAGTGCCCCTGTAGAGGACAACTTCTGTTGGTTTGGGACTGGGGAAGTCTCCAACAATTTCCTCTCTCTTTCCTGTACCCTCAGTGTGGCCCCCTCTACTGGGTTGGTCCCTTTGGCGTGGAAATGCTGTAATTTCTCCCACCTGAAGTCAACAAAACTCTCTTGATTCACATTGCCCTCAAGCTCCTGCCTCGTTCTCTGCTTATTGATAGCAAATCTCCTTAGGAGAAAATCTATACTCCTCATCCCCAAGTCTTCTCCCTTCCCCCTCCCATTCTCTTAACTTTTTTTTCTGGTGGTACCAAGGATTAAACCCAGGGCTTCCTGCATGCTGAGCACCTGCTCTGCCCCTGCGCTGCACCCCCAGCCCACTCAGCTCTCTTAAAAATGTTCTCATTGAGACCACCCATGGCCTCCACCTACTAACTCCAACAGGCACACCTCAGCTGGCCTCTTGCCTGAAGTTCAGTATCAGTTGATGCCGTTGTCCCCTGCCCCCCCACTGTCATCTTCCCTCAATGTCAGCATGCCCACCTGGCCCTGCTCTTCTCTTACCTGCTCCTTCTCAAGACTGCCCTGGCTCCCTGATTTCTCTTTCCGCTCTCTTACTAGGGGTCTCAAGCAGGCTCAGGGCTCTGAATATCATCTTTTATACCGAAGGCTGTAAATGTATAGCCTCACCTGGATCTCTTCTCTCTTGAATCCCAGTCTAGAATGTCCAACTGTGTAGTCGAGTGGCCCCATTTGAAGTGGCCCAGATTCCTCCAAATTAACATGTGCAAAACTGATCTCATACTCCTTCCCCAGCCATCTGCTCCTCCTACAGCTTTCCCCAGCTTCCACTTACTCAGGTGCATCTATGGCTCTCCTTTTCTTCCACCCCATATTAGTTCCAGCAGCACATCCCATGGCTCCGCCTCCTCTCTCAAACCTGACCTCTGCGGTCCACTTTTAGGCCCTCATGGGTGCCCAGCGCCATCACCTGCTGGGTGCATGGCAGTGGCTGTCGCCAGCCTGCCCCACACAGCAGCTGGGATGATGCAGGTCAGATGGGCTGTGTGGCATCTGGAGTCACTTCCCACAGCCCCCTCCAGCCTGCCCTGCGCCCACTCAGCAGCCCTGCTGGCCCCTGCTCCCCCAGCACAGGAGGCTCACTCCGCACCCCCACTCAGTGCTTCCAGATCTCTGTCTCCCCCTTCAAGGCTTTGCCTCATTACAGCAATGCTATGCATCTGAGCTGTTGCTCCCTCCCGCTTCCAGGGACCTATTCTGTCCATAGCATTCTCATCCTGACACGCTATGTATTTTTCTGATCTATTCTGACCTATTGCTTGTTTTTCTCTCTGTAGCAGAAAGTAAGTTCCTTGAGAACAAAGGGTTTTGTCTGGCACCTAGCACACAGTAGGCATCTGTAGCTTTGGGGGGGATTAATGGATGCCTGAGAGGTGCAGCAAGGAGCCTGGCCAGGCCCCACAAGGTGCTCAAATGTCATCGTCATGGGTTATGTTGTTGAGTGAGGCACTGCCCCATCAACTCCCGTGAGTCACAGAGGGGAGGAGGAGGAACTGCTGTGCTCAATTATTCCATTAACGTCTCTTGAAATCAACACACCAGAAAGCTGTGATGGGATCATCCTGCAGGTTACATAAACAGTGGTTGAGAAAGCGCATGGGTAGGTGTATCTACACAGAGGTGGAAGTCGGTTACCCAGGGTCCCACCGGATTCACTCCACTTCTCCCTCTTAGTCTCAGGGGGACAGGGACTCTCTGAGTCTGCCCCTTAAGAACTGAAATCCCCAGGTCTTTCATTAAGCCCAGCTCAGATTCTGGCCTTAAAGCAACCCTTCTCCCATCGTGCTCTAGCGAACCTGTGGGATGTGGTCTCCTGGTGCCTCCCAGTTTTTTCAACCTGTCATCTCCTTTCCTAACCTTTGGGGGGCATTCTTGGCGCAATCAGGGTCTCTTCCATCCCCGTAGCTGGGCAAGAGCTGCAGTCTATCCTCAGCACAACGTTGGCCCTTTGGCTGTGGAATCTAGACTATGCCGGAAAAAACACTCGATTCTCACTCACCTCACCGCACCCCATTCCTCACTCTGCTCTTTTAGTGGGGGCTGTGATATACACCCCATCTTCTTCTTAACAAGGACAACACTTTGAAAAGCAAAAATAGTTGTACAAATCCAACTATTTTGTGTTAAATTTGCCTATTTCCTTCAGTTTAGAGACGCTTTTGCCCTGGGGTTTACACGAGCCTGGAAGATCAGTGAGAATCTTCTATTCTTTCACCTACCCTGCCTGAAAACAGCCCCGAGGCCTCTCCTGAACTTTCTGGAAGCTGAGTGGGGCTGAGAGGGTGTGTGTGCCGTGACCAACTCCCAGTGTCCCCACCCCCACCTCACCTCAGGGTCACCTCTTAAGGTGCTAATCCTAGAAACCAACGCCCTACTCAAGCCTAGATGGGTACAACACCTGGCAGGGGGAGGTTAGAGCCCTCCCCCATCCCAAGGCTGGGGACCGACCGCAGGAGGCGTGATTCAGAGGCCCTGCAGGTGGTAGGCAGAAGTGTCCAGGCTAGCAGGGCAGCAGCTTTCTCATGCTCAGGACCATTCTCCAAGGCAGAGCCAGGAGGAGACGCTGTGGGCAGGGGCAGGACCACGTGGGGACAGGAGGAAGCTTTCCAGCTAACCAGCACACCCCACAGAACTGTATCCAAGGCCTCACTGCTCCGTCCTATTGTGTGACCTTGGACAAACTGGTGGACCTTTCTGTGCTTCAGGCGCCTCATCTTTATTTTTTCTTCTCTCCATAACGTATTGTTACATTTTAATTGTGAATTTGGTTAAGCATTTATTACATATGATAAAAATTATAAGAGCTTTATATACATCATCTTTGTAACAATTTTGTGAGGTAGGCAAAATGGTTTTATATAGCTCCTCTTTTAAAATTTTTTTTATTTGTACACATTTGCTGTACATAGTAACTGTGTTCCCCATGGGGTGCTGATACATGGACATCACACTCTTAATTATTTC